AAGTGACAAAATTTCGATTCTTGTTATAATTGCTGTCATTTATCGATACAAATAAAGATTTTATCGATCGTTTTTTAAATTTCATTTTAGTTGAAAAAGTAATATAACATAGTAAATCTTGAACATTTAAGGGATAAATTAAAATTCCTAATATATAAAAAAATGTAATAACAAAAGTTGTATTCGTAATTTCTGCAAAAATTTTATGAGCCATTTCTTTAAAATAACAATATAAACCATAAAAAATAATAATTATAAGTAATTTGCCTTTATTAATTTATTTTACTTAAGATGTATTTTTAATCAATTCCTTTTCCATTTAATTAAAAAAGTAATAAATTTCTAAAATTGTTGATTGCTTTCTCATACTTTATATTTGTTTTTTTATTATTATTCCTATTATAATATAAAACTAAAATACAATCATGGTCTATAAAAGGTATAATAGGGATCATCTGTGTACATTTTCGAAAGCCTTCCATGATACTATCGATAGTATCCTACGGCGCATCGCTACACACACACACAATGAATTGGTCTAGCGGCGCGTCGACGAACTCGCGCGCTGCCCGCCGCTAAGCGGCGTTACCCTTCCTCCGCTTCCTCATACTTCACCACCCAAATAGTTAAAAATTCACTGCATACAGCGCCTTAATTAACAAATTAAAATTGGAAAAAGATATACCACTCAATAAGGTTTGAACTTGGGACCACAGTAATTGTTCACTTACCATGATGCTGTGGAAGGTGACAAAATTTCGATTCTACTTAGAATTGTTGTCGTTTACCGATATAAGGAATTTTATCGATAATTTCTTAAATATCATTTCATTGAGGAATTTATATAAAGTTTATCATTTAAAAATTAAATTAAAGATATATTAACTATAGTTTAAAAAAATATGTACCTAATAAAAAAGTCGTATTCGTAATATCGGCCGTCGAGACCATGGAATTGCTTAAAATATTTGTGAGCTATTACTTTAAATCAAAAAGTACCTGGAGGACCGAGCTTTCCCCGGTTTTTTTTAAAAAAAATAAAGAAAGCAAAAAAGAAAGAAAAAAAAAGTAAAAAATCGTGACACGAACCTGTTTCGGGGCTGCCCGATTACCGACCGAGCTATTATAACGTTTTTTTTTTTTAGTTTAACGTCATATTCGAAGGATATTTTTCATTCCCTGAAAACAGGGAAAAGGACATTTTCTAAAAATGAAACCTCGATTTTTCGCCCCCGAATCTACGCACATACTAAATTTCATGAAAATCGCTGGAACCGTTTCCGAGATTCCGATTATATATATATACACACAAGAATTGCTCGTTTAAAGGTATAAGATAAATAATTATTCGTCTATTTATTATTGTTTAGTTGTAAGAAATGTCATTTGCCTTTATTAATTTATTTGACCTTAAGATGTATTTTTGATCAATTCTAATCCGTTTCCTAATAATTTAAATTAATTAATAAGAAGATTTTCTAAAATTGTTGATTGCTTTCTCACACTTTATATTTGTTTATTTATTACTATTCCTATACTAACATAAAAGTAAAATACGATCATGGTCTATAAATGATATAATAGGGATCATCTCTGTACATTTTCCGAAGCCTTCCATGATACTATCGATAGTATCCTACGGCCCACCACTACTAGGTAATGAATGACGTGGTCAGGCGGCGCGTCGACAAAACTCACGCGCTAAGCGGGGTTACCCCGCTTAATATACCCCGCTTAAAATAGTTAAAAATTCACTGCGTACAGCGGCTTAATTCAATATACTCGAGCAACCCGAGTTCGATCCTGGTGCCGGCACCAATGAAGTTTTTAACTTTGAGTGCTGACTTATCACGTGCTCCGCGGTGAAGGAAAACAACGTGAACGTGAAAAACTATTTCCAAAATATGTAGGTTAGGAAACCTATCAATAATAACAAAAAAATATATATTTCGAAGATAGGTAGGCATAAATAATGTTATTTAAAAAAAGAGAAATATTTAAAAATCAATCGTAATTTACTTGATTTATACGCAACTCATTTATTTTACGCGCGATCATTCATAAATCATAACTACCACGCACACAAGTTTGTGCACAGTAAAATGTAGGTATTTATGAATGACTACCGCATTGTCAACACGTTCTGTTTTTTAGGGAATAGAAAGGCATTTTTTTTTTAAGTTTGTTTTTTTATTTCAATAAACGATTATACTACCGAGTCTGAACCTCCTGTGTAAATTTGGGCACTTCTCAAAAAATCTCCCTGTATATACCGCACTTCTTCGCTTTCACATCTTAAAATCAACTATCCTACTCTTTTCACAATAACGTCTAGATGTTACTGCCAGTATTATCATGACTTTGAATTCCCCAGTGGCTGCTTATTAGTAAATTGCTTGAAATAATGTTAAAAGAGGATGGCTACAACTTGGCAAATTTAAATATTCGCAAAATTACTATAAAATCTGCCATATATAACACTAAAGTTATTTTTTTTTTAAACATTATGATAAAGGAGAAGGCAGGTGAAGTTATTACCACTGCCCATGGATAAACACACCACTCGTGAGGTACATGTGCATTGTCAACAAGTGGCCGGTTACTTTATTCTTCAGACAAGACAGACTCCGTGGCCCAGTCGCCAAGGTATTAGTTAATAAAAATAAGCATTCATCATCATCATCATCATCATCATTATCGTAATGTCAGCCTGTTTTATGCCGGTTTCTGAGGAACTTTTGTCAGCAGTTTATCTATTGATTCGATAACTTACGAAAGTGCGTTTCTGAACAACACCACGGAAGATAAACTCCGTTTAAATTTAGGTTAGCCTAACGGTGGTAGGGCCACGTAGCAGCCTCGGCTTTTGCACGAATGGGTAGGCTCGTCCAGGTAAGTCCCACGACCTCACAGAAGACCAGCGTAAAGTGGAAGTATGACAAATACTTTCGCGTTTCATCTGGTGAGTGAGGTAGCCGGAGCCCAATTTTCAAAAGGTTGTCAACGCACTGTAACCCTCAGGTGTAGCAGATGTCTATGGGCGGCGATATTCACTTACACTCAGGTGAACCGTCAGGTCGCTTGACAAATTTTTACATAAAAAAAAATTGACCAATAAAAAAAATTATCAGTTCCATAACTTTATTTGAAGTTTTATTTATTCAAAAATTCAAGTTTAAGGTTAATTCATGTTATTATTATAATAAATTACCGATGAGACCTGAGTATTAAAATCAGACAAAGACTAAAACAGCATTACTTTTATTGTTAATGCCTTCCAAGTTTGTTTCTTCGCCTAGATATAGAGTACAAGATGGATGGGAGATCCTGCTTTGTTAGTCAGTTATATATTAATATAAATTCTATATTGATTATTTGATATAAAGTCTTTCACTATTTCTATATGAAACATCTCTCTTTCAGTAAAATTTTTACAACTTTTTCCAAATGATAGCCAAGATTACTAAACTTATAATTAAAACGGCAAAAAAAGTGAACAAATATTACCACAACCAAAACAAAACATATTCAACGTTTTTATTTGACAATGATGTCATTGATGATGAATTAAATTATCATAGTTTACTAGTAAAACAGCGCTTAACCACTTATTTACCTCGAATAATTATTATTATAAATAAAAATAAAGAATAAATATAATTAATTTAAAATAAATCTAGAATTAGACTCGATGACTTAAACAGACCATCTTAGAGAGGTCGCTCTACACTACAATCGCCAATATGAGAACCTGCCACTCAAGAACCTTCCTACCCTTCAAGCTATATAGCAAGCCAATTGCCCTTCAGCTTACTATGCCTCTGACCTATGTTGGGTACCTATGTTCTACTGCGGATGTCATCATTGCGAACTCTATCACACATTGAAATATCTAGTTGGGCTTACCAAACTGGCCTACCTCAAAAATGGGTAGCTAAGAAAGCTACCCATTTTCAAGCACAGTGCTCCCAACAACAACCTATATAAGAGTATCCTGTGACTCTATCTTCAACTTGTCCATGTTCATCATAAAGTCCACCTGTTGGGAGACGCTGCTGTGGTCATAAGAGCATTAAGACTAGTTAAGCCAGTCTTATAGACAAGTATACAATTAAGTTATAAGGCCACAATGTTTTATCATGCCAGAATAAGGCACTGGGAAATCCATCAATTACACTATAAATAATCAAACAATTATCATAACAACAAGAAGGAACAGTTCTGAAGGCATGATGCTAAGGCGGTATAACAATGCTTAATAAAGAAAGACATCCCTGATACTTGCAGATACTTGCAGAATTATGATACATAAATGGGCTTAAGTTACATGCTGAGATATCTAAAACAAATAGCATAAAGCATTGTTCCTCATTTTATTCTATACCAAATATACAAATAATGTAAATGTTTTGAAAACTGAGTAACTTGTATTGATTTTCCATTATAATAATTATGTACTTGAAATTTACTTCCAACATCTCTCATATTTATCACTGTCCTGTTTTATAAACTGACTATATATATTCTGTAGTTTAATGGAATATCTTGTATGACCCTAATCAGGAAATAATAGGCTTTTAAGTATCCTACTATCTTTCAAGTCTAGCATGCAGGGGTTTTGGGGGGTGATAAGTCAATCTAGCTAGGTTTCATTTTTAGAAAACTCTGTTTTATCCATGTTTACCGGCAATGAAAAACTGCTACCATGTCTTTAGAATACGCTCTAATATAGCTCAGGTTGGAAATTGGGCTCGACACCAGAAGACCCCCGGTTCGAGTCCAGATGATTTTCTTTTTTTCCCTTTTTTTCATTCCTTCTTATGTGAGAAAAAATAAAAGTAAAGCTCGGTCAACCAAGTACTATATTAATATACCAAAACTATTGACAAACTGACATAATTATAATTAGCAATTGGTTATGTTTTTAAATATAAGTTCACAGTACACATCCTACTGTAAAAATATTCTATAGTTACATTTATTAGCATAAAAAAACTTACTTGGCTGGTCTTGATTTCATCCAAACAGGTAATGTAAGTCCATCCCTAATTTCAGGGTCACTTGAAGCCATTTTGAGACAATAAAATATTATGTTTATGATATAAAACAACAAAACAATATATCAGAAAAAATAGTCAAAATTACTTTTATAAAACACTACTCCAGTATATTATTATAAAGAAACTTCACTTATACCACAGTACAGTGCTGTACTAGACCGATTTTTGTATAAAACTTTATCTTGAGCAGAAAGATAAGGCAAATTGATACCAACATCAAAAAACTTGCTTATGATTATTTTAATAAAAATATAAAGAAAAAAATATGAACAAGAACTTTAACTCAAGACACTGTTTGAGATTCAATTGACTTCTTGCATAATGATGCAGCCATCTGAAAGAAACAGACATTACTTTGATACAATGTGTATTATAGAGTATATGTTTCTCAGCACGTAATTATATGTGCATACATATACTACATAGAACTGTTTGTAGCCCTAAATCATTTGTAAGGCAGCAAATATGAAAAATTCCATAACGCATTATGCCAATTTCAATCTTAGTACATAATACACAATAACATGCATTTATCCATAGTTGATTGTCTATTGAGACTAACATATCTGTAATTTTAATAATAATAAAGCAGAAATTTCGCTTAATATGTCAAAACTCTAACTGTTTGAGATAAAATTTAGACCCTTGAGCCATTTAGCGTTACATGTGAAATTAATTAAATGAAACTATGAAAATTATCTTAACTTTTATTAATACAATTTACATTTACCTAATTTACTTGAAATAGAACAAAAAAGTATACTTACACCAGTAACAACCATGTTTGAAAAATATTGAAAAATCATCTTAAAATAATTTTCAACGCCACCACAACAAACAAAACAGAAGTAGAAGATGGATGACGAATTGATGAAAGATAATTACTATTTAAACATGTAGGTGTATGCAATTTTTTTCGTCATACAGAATAAATATCATAGTGTTACCATAGTTTCCCGGGGAAACTTTCCCCGATCAAATATTATTAATCCGTTTTAATTGTTTCTGTTTCTGCAACTAGGAAGTTCCACCAGCTTTTTTTTATTCCAATTCTGCTTTTGTTTCCGCAACTGGTGAGTGAGGTAACTACTTCCCAAGAAATCCGAGATGTGATAGCTGTGTCCAGGCGCTCGCTTTTTATTCAATGTAATTTTAACAACAAACTTGAGTTCAGATTCCGGTGTCAGCACCAATAATGAAGCTGTTAATAACAATTTTATACACAAAAGCCTCTCAAATTATTTATTATATTCATTTTTTAAGATATGTGTTAGAGATTTCATAACTTCCAGCTTAGGATTACTGGCCACCTACAGGTTTTAAATTTGAAAATCAGTACTGTTCGTGTGTCATCTGTAGTCAGATATTTTAAAGTCAGTACCAATATAGTACTAATAATAATATATAGTAATAATAATAGTAATAGTTCCATAGATACCAAAGTACTCTGTGGTCAGTACCTGGAGGGCCGAGCTTTGCTCGTTTTTTTTTTTTTTTGGTAATCATGTATTTTGGAAATAAAAAAAATAAGAAAATAATAATAATAATAATAATAAATGTCACTTACAATGGAACGTTAATTCCGTTCTCTGAATCTGTTAAAAATCTTGGCTTGTATTTGGACCAGTCGTTTAGTTGGGAAACACAGGTTGCCGAAGTCAGCCGGAAAGTCGTTACCACATTACGTTCTCTCTATCGCCTTAAAAATTTTCTGCCCCATAAAACTAAGCTCTTGCTTGTCCAGTCCTTAATTTTACCCATTATTGACTATGCAGATGTGTGTTACCCGGACCTATACCAATCTCGTCTTAATAAATTGGAGCGCCTTCTCAATAACTGCATCAGATTCATTTTCGGTTTACGTAAATATGACCACGTATCTTCTTATCGTCACAAGCTTAACTGGCTTTCTATTCGTCAAAGGCGTTGTTCCAGAATTCTGTTGTTATTGTATTCGGTAATATCTAATCCTAATTCTCCTACATATCTCAGGAATACCTTCCAATTATTTCACTCTGCTTCTGACAGAGTACCTCGTTCCTTTAACCTACATAGGATTCGCATCCCGCAACATAATACAGGATACTTTAACTCTTCTTTTACTGTTCAAGCTACACTCCTCTGGAATGTCCTTCCCGATAAGATCAAAATAGCTCCAAATAAATATAGATTTAAAAAGTTAGTTCGAGAACTACCTATTAAATCAGTGATTTTGTTTGGCTTATCCCATGCTCGGTTTTTATTATCCATATATGTACATCTACAATATATATATATATATATATATATATATATATATATATATATATATATATGTGTGTGTGTGTATATTTATGTATATATTCATCCATACATGTATGTCATATATATGTAGTTTATGATTAATAATATTCATATACATATTCGTATATATCCACACATTATATTTAATTTGATTTTTAAGTATATATTTTCCTACTTTTATTTACTTTAGTTTTAGCACCTGCCATCTACTTCTCACCATGACAAGCGTTGACTGGTAGAGAATGCCACTAGGCATTAAGTCCGCCCATTGTAGCCTTTACTCTAAGGTGTAACAATGAAGTATAAATAAATAAATAAATAAATTTCATGAAAATCGCTGGAGCCGTTTCCGAGATTCCGATTATATATATTGTAAGAAAATAGAAACGATGATTGAATTTTTAAAAAGAATTTATTGGCCAGTGGGCCAAATTACTTAGAAGTTTGACTATGATTCTAAGTTACTGACACAATCGCTTATATATATATATATATATAGATTTTTTGAGAAGTGACGATAAAAAAGAAAGTATTAAAAAAAAATGCCCTTCATTCCCTAAAAAACAGAACGTGTTGACAATGCGGTAGTCATTCATGCTTGTGTGCGTGTTAGTTATGAATGATTGCGCGTAAAATAAATGAGTTGCGTATAAATCACGCACGTTTTGAGATAAGTTCAAATGAAGGTAATTAACTACTTACGAGTGATTTTAACTATTTATCATTTTCATGTAACATTATTTATGTCTACAATTGAATTAAAAAAATGGGTACACTTAGAAAAGCCACCCGGTACGTATACAAGAATTGCTCGTTTAAAGGATAAGTGTGCAGTCGAGAGGAAAACATCTTCGTAAAACTAGATTGATACTAGTATAGCATAACGCATAATATTGAATAAATATACTTTGACTTGACTTAACTTGACTTGTAATATCAAGTGACCTTAAGCACTACGGGCACTACGAAAGCACTTTCGGGTAAGAGACGTAAAATTGTAACTAATTTTAAAAAATTGACGTAGAAAAGTGTAAAATTGGTGAAATTGGATTGATACTAGTATAGCATAACGTAGGTTGCTTATTTCGCCCTACAGTGAGGAGGAAGTATAACTTTAGTTTTTGCATCGCCGGTAGGGCCTTATATGCTCTTGGAGGAATAACTTCGCGTCGCATGCTCAGAAGTATGGAAACCATTGGTCGTCAGTAAAAGCAAGAAGAGCAAAAAAATTGCCCTACAAGCGAACAACGTGCTGATAGCGAAATCTCCGGTCCAGTCAAGAAAGTGGCACCGGGTTTGCAGAACGCTGACAAGCCCCGAGTGGATTACATCCACATAGTTGACTAAAGGCTAAGCTATCACGTCCTGTCATCATCCTGGATAACGCCAATGGAGTAACATTTCCGTTTAGCTGGAGAAGAAAACTTTTTCTAAGTATCTGGGTGCATGACGTGAAATTGCATAGCTTTCGAGTGTTAAAAAGTAATTACTTTAAAACAAAGTAACGTTACATATTTGCTCACTCCCGGAGAAACGTGAGCTCCGAGTAGTAATAAGATTTCGATGAAGTTGTTTTATATAGAGAAAGGGGAAAAACAATCAGTAGGCTCACCTGTTGGTAAGAAGTGATCCCGCCGGCCATGAACACCTGAGGGCTTATTACAAACGCGTTGCTGCACTTTTAGGAAAGAGTGTGCTCTCTTCTTGAAGTTTCCCAGGTCACAACGGCTCGGAAAGACCGCCGGTGGCAGCTGGTTCCACAGAGTGGTTGTGCGAGGCAGGAAATGCCTGGAAAGTCGCACTGTTGTGGAACGCTGGACAGGTTGTGTGGATAAAATGTTTGGTTTTGGAAAGATGTCCAATAGTGAAATTCAGGGTCAATCAAACAATTCCTCCGAACATTCCCTTTGATATACACGGTAGAAGATGCAGCGTGATTCAACATCTCTACGCGGAGCCAAAGGATCAAGCCGATCGAAAAGACCCTGATCGTCGATAACCCGAGCCGCCCTACGCTGAATGAGGTCAAATTGGAGAAGGTGGTAATGGGGGGCTTTCGCCCAAGGATGACAGCTTAGGTGTTGAGCCGACGTGAATTACTCGCTTGTCTTTATTTATTAACTGTCTCGCATTGCTGAGCTCACCAAGCTTATTTCAGGCCAATTTGGCTTCACCTTCCAATTGACCGCGTAACTGGACGAGAATTCAACGCTAAGTATTTTGATACTTCCTGTGGCAGACAGAAGTGTGTTCTCAAAATGAGAATTTATGAGAAATGGGGACTTTTAAGCGGTTAACGCGCAAACTTGAGTCTTTTTGGGGTTGAATTGGACTAAGTTTAGTCGACTGCAGTCGGAGATTTAGTTAACAAAATTTAGGTGAACTGCATGTGCAATCACGTCGGGGTCACCAGTTTGATAGCAAGCAGGGGGGAATAATTAAGATGCAGTACAAAGAACAAGCCGTGTTGAGAAAACCATAATCTTTTATTGTCACTCGTTGCTATAGTAATCTGTCAATATTAGGGTAATACTAGACCAGATGAGAGTTAGGGTACATAAGACAAAAGCGATGCTACACTATAGCTAATGAGTCTCCACAAAAATCTCGACTGCAGACACAAGCTTGTTCCGACTCTCGTAGACGTTTTCCCGAGAAATATTTGCAGGGTCATTGTACGAGACATCCATGGTGCCATCGTCTGCATAGCAATGAACGTTGCTGATTTTAAACATGTCATGATATGCAGAGGGAACAGAGTGGAAGACAGTACGCAGCATTGTGAAACACAAGCATTTACAAATTTAACGCAACAATTTTTAATGAAGTGCTTTGTGTCATACCGTCGATGTCCGATTCCAGGGAAACCTGCAAATAACGTTAAACGTCCTCACCACCCGTAAGCGGGATCTAATAAACCTTCTAAGCCGAAGTAAATGTAGACTGACATATTGAATCCATTAGAAAATCCGCTATCATTGCTCAGTGTTACAATAGTCAAAACTTCGAGCGTACTACTAATAATTGTTGTGCCTGCTCGAGCTACCGTTCAGCTCGGTGCTGCTTCGCCCAGCCAGGGTATTTTATCCAATGCATTTTGGTCGTCTCATCAGCGCATACGCATATCGTTTACATATAGAACCTACGTTGTGTGGTAGGTAAGGGTGCCGTGTCATCAGTCCAGCCGGCTTATTAGCTGACACTAGGGTCCCCCACCAACTGCTCCCACTCGTCGCCGGCGTTTGAACGCTGGTAATCCCTGCGCCACCCAACTAATCCGGGGCCAGCGTATGGCCCTGAGCTTTGGACTTCTTGCACTGAGAGTGCAATGATGTGAGGATCTTAACTTAGGAAACCTAAGTAAAGCTGGTCAACAAGAAAGCCACCTCACCGGAAGTCCCGTATGGCTTGATAAGTTCAAATGAAGGTAATTAACTACTTACGAGTGATTTTAACTATTTATCATTTTCATGTAACATTATTTATGTCTACAATTGAATTACAAAAATGGGTACACTTAGAAAAGCCACCCGGTACATATACAAGAATTGCTCGTTTAAAGGATAAGTGTGCAGTCGAGAGGAAAACATCTTCGTAAAACTGTTTTTCTAAAATGATGTAATTTAGTGTTTTTTTTTTATTATCCTATGTGTTAATTAATTATCTTCATTGAATTCATCATTGATTGGGACTAAATCTTCCCATCAGGGTTATGGGCCCAGCACGCTTCCACTGCGAGATTTAGTCCCAATTAATTTATATCAATTTTTTACAAAAAAACACAATACATTTATTTATTTATATTAATTTTTGTACTAAACCGCGATCGATAGTGGAACTTATCCAGAGAGAGTAATCAAAATTGCAAATTAATCTAAAAACACTGAGCATGCGACGCGAAGTTATTCCTCCAAGAGCATATAAGGCCCTACCGGCGATGCAAAAACTAAAGTTATACTTAGAAAAACCTCCTCACTGTAGGGCGAAATAAGCAACCTACGTTATGCTATACTAGTATCAATCCAATTTCACCAATTTTACACTTTTCTACGTCAATTTTTTAAAATTAGTTACAATTTTACGTCTCTTACCCGAAAGTGCTTTCGTAGTGCCCGTAGTGCTTAAGGTCACTTGATATTACAAGTCAAGTTAAGTCAAGTCAAAGTATATTTATTCAATATGGGCCTAACTTAAGCTCTTATTGAACGTCAACAAAAAATACCACCGGTTTACTAAACTAGACCTGCACAGAGAAAAACCGGCAAGAAACTCTGCGGTAATACAAATATTGTGTCTAAACCGGATGCGGAACCCCAAAGTAAGACACCATAGGACATTATGCTGTGAAAATAAGCATAATAAAATTTTCAAGATTAAGATGTTGACTTACTTGACTTATGGTCCTGTTTCCCCTAGCTTCCACAGTGCGTCGCCATCCCGTTCGGTCTTGAGCTTCTCGCTTCAGTTCCCTCCACGTCTTTCCTATGTTCTTCGCCTCTGCGATGATCGTCCGCCGCCAGGTTTGCTTAGGGCAGCCGCGCTTACGCTATGTGCTACGAAAAAATAAATAATGAAATAGTGTGATTTTTACAATAGAAATTCACCATTTTTTTGTTGTCAATATGTCAATTCTGCTCGTATTTCTTGGTGGTCATAAAAAAAATGGTGGATTTCTTAGTAAAAATAACGAGTTTAAAATATTTTTTTTCTCGAAAACTATAAGCGACCGCCGAATTCTGCTTGTTGATTAATTCATTAGAGATTTCTATCTATCGTTTAAAATTTATTTTAATTGAATTACGCCCGAGTTAAAGTTATTTACATTTGCCTAAATATTTTTCAAGTCAATAAAGAATGTTCAAGGTCAAGTATATTAATTAAATTAATTTTTAAATAAAACAGTTTTGATTACTTAGATAAATAATTTTTTCCGAAAATTATTGCACCTTAGATAATTTAAAAAAAAGTGGACTTTTTTCATTTAAGAAGTTTTTTTTTTAAAACAGTGGATCTTAGGAGGTTTTTTCAACAGTTGATCACACAGCACACTGACAGTTGGTAACACAGCTGTCATAATGTCAAACACATTACTAAAATTTTCAAAAGAAAAAGTCAGGTGTCCATTTTAGTCCATAACCCATTGCCCATGAAAAATCTATTCTGTATCCCCATTCTTGTTGAAAACAAAATAAGTTTTGTAATTTATTCCTGTTTTTTAAACAGTTAGTACATTCAAAACAATGGCAAACGAACCAGAACCAACAGACCTTGATTGGGTTCAACTCCGCCGAGATATGGGAAACATGCATCATGTTGAGACAAACAAAGAGAAATTTATTCGAAAATTTAGTGAAAATCCGTTCGTTCCTATAGGTAAGATCTTAAGAAAAGGTATATTTATATCAGTTACCCATTATTCGTTTTTATTACCACAAATGATTGGCTATGGCTGTAAAAAACTCATGTTTTATTGCATTTTATGAATACATCATATTATTATGTAATTTATTTTTAGGTTGCCTGGCTACAGCAGGAGCACTGACCTATGGTTTATGGTGCTTTAGGAATGGTAAATCTAAATTATCTCAGAAAATGATGCGACTGCGAATTGTTGCACAAGGTTTTACCATCACTGCTCTGGTTGTGGGAGTTATGACAACGGCTGGGAAATCGCTTAAATAAAGAAATCCTATATTAACGTATAGCTTTTAGTCCTTGTGTTACATAATAAAATCAATAGCTAAATTATCGTATTTATAAACTCAATCATAAATAAAATTTGTAGATTGCTTTTCATGTAAAACATTCAGATAAGGTGTTCTAACTTATAATTAGTGCTGTAAACCTTTTTCTAATATTTATGTAATAATTTTAGGGTATGGCATTTCTAATAAAAATATATAGTTTGTTAAAATATTTGCATTTTTTGGGCCATATGTCTAATAACAATTTATATAGGGAGAGAGTTATATAGTGTCTTGGTCTAAAAGAGAAAACTTGTAATGCAGCAAAAAATCTTTTATTTAATATAATCTTGTTTAAAAATTATCATTTAGCATAGAACTGACATAAGTAAATGTACAGCATTCTTTACGCTTATACATATGAAATAGTTATTATTTTATTGTATGTTAATAAATTAATAAAATAAATACAAACAGTATGTGTAAAGACCCTCAAAATTGATATTTTTAGATTAAATAAAGATAATTTTCAATTTATACTTCATTTGTTAAAACCCTTGTTGGTAATCTCAATTTAAAAAATAATATTATAAAACAATTTTATAACACAATTTTATCAACTTTATAATATTATTTCTTTCTTTTTTTATAATTAAAGCTTTTAAAAGATTGTTATATTTTGGAGAGTTAATATTGTTCATCATTTCAGCCTGTTTGAGTCCACTGCTGAACATAGGCCTCTCCCATAGACTGCCACGAAGTACGATCCTGAGCCACCTGCATCCATCGACTTCCCGCACATTTGCACAGGTCGTCACTCCATCTAGTGGGGGGTCGTCCCACACTGCGATGGCCAGTACGAGGCTGCCACTGGAGAACCTAATATTGTTATGAACACAAAAAGGAACTAACGCCATCTAGCGTCAACTACTAAAATCACTAAAGAACAAAGACGACATAAAACCCCTATTCAATACTAGATGGCGTTAGAGGAACTGCTGTGGAACTATAGTCTCGAAAACCGGGAACATTCGCGAACTTTCCGCAATCGCGATCATGTTCGCGAATGTCGGGAACTTTCTGGAATAGTCTGGGGCTCGTCTCGGCCCATATAAAAAGCCGCAGAGAGGCGAGACAGGACAGTTCAGTTTGAGCTACCTTCGAGGCGACTTCGGAGCGAAAACTAGTGATCAAGAGCGATACCATTGAAACCTACGACTTGGCTACAATCTAGGACATCGTTAGTGCTTAGTGACTGGACCCAGTGCTTTGTGTTGGACCTAGCGCTAGTAAATAAAGCCTTCAAAAGAGTCAGCAGGTCTTTCTCTTCAAATCCTTCGAACCCCTAACACGTAACAATATAAATAAAATGTAAAGGAAAAATAGATACTTTATTGTCAATGCCTAAACTTTTAATAAAAGGGATAGTACAAAATGTAGGATTTATGCCTACACATCTTGGTCAACATTGTTTTGTACAGCTGAATGGTTGTTATAATGAATGCTCCAACCTGCCTGCGGCATGCAGCAATTTATATGGACATAGGTTATAGTATCCACATTGTTTTTTTTGGTAACTTGAACTTAAATTACATTGCTGTAGGGACAAATAAATATGTTCTTGTAATGACAGCTATATGTTGAGTATTCTTCTTCTTGCTCGGTCCCTCAATGCTGAGGATCGTGACCACATGATGTTCTCCTCCACTGCGTGCGGTCGTAGGCGGTGTGAACCGCGCGTTGCATGCTGCCGCCCACCGCGTTCTTCACTACGTCGGCCCATCTTGTCGGTGCCCTGCCTTGAGCACGTCTCCCGTTCATCTGGCCAGTAATTATCTGCTTTTCTAGACTGTGCCAAAAAAGCAGAGGGCCCGTTCACGGCAAATTGAAGAAAGCCGCTTCGTGATGTTTAGGTCTTTTAGTATTGAGTCGTTGGTTCTCCTGGCAGTCCAAGGAATACGGAGCATCCTATTGAGTATTATATTGCCTTAAAATTTGTAGAAAATATACGAAAAAATTGTCGCCGCTGTGGGAATCGAGTTACAACGCACGCAACGCATGCACATGCAGCGAGGGCTCAATCCCCTGGGTTCTGCCTAGCCCACCGGTTCTGCATCAGATGAAACTTTAATAGTCTCGGGAATGAAACATCAGTTAATACAAGAAACAAGACAATATTCAATATTCTTTGTGCTGGAAAGGATATAACAATGGATGCGCCAAGCATTACTTTAAATGCTAAAAAAACAATGTACATAAAACACGTTAAGATTTTCGTCGGTGTAACAATCAGGCCGCGAATGTCGAAGAAGTGGGTTCGATTCCCTCATCGGCGACAATCTTTTCGTACTTTTTTCTACAAATTATCATGTTCAATCTTAAGTGCAGAGATTAGCACCATAATAAAATCAAAATTTAATTATATTGCGTCCCTAGGCTCAGACGAAACGTGACAATGATCTCTTATAAGCGCATGCCATTCTGGTTAACGATGCGCGTTATAAAACCAAAGTGACCTTGAAAATGTAGGTGCGAAAATGTTGTCGGCACGACCGAACATCCGAGGTTCGAGACGGACCCCAAAGGTTTCGAGGTTTGATTCAATAATGTCGTTCCGAGATTATTGCATTACTGTGGTAGGGCCTTGAAATAGCTTTTACTGTTTGCACGAGTGGGCAGGCTTTTTGGCCTCACCCGTGGTAATTCGCCGGAAAAGCCGGCGTGAAACGGAAGTATTAAACTTTAGCGTTTCTTCTGGTGAGTGTGTTATTCGGGGCCCTCAATTTTAAAAGTTGTCAACGCATCAGCAAGCCATCAGATACAGATGTCCATGAGCGGCGGTATTCATTTAACATCAAATGTACCGTCTGCTCGCTTAACAACTTTTCACATAAGAAAAAGAACGTAATGCTTCACCCCCAAGATTCGTAGAGACAGGTTCTGATGGGCTTGAGACGTATCCTTGTCATTGGCTGAGCGATTGTAGAACTACCACTCTACCAGTGGTAGATGGCGGGTAGACGTCTCTTATTTCCCGGTTTCGGTAGCATGTAGATTTTATCAGTTTTCCACGTGTTCGGTATATGACCTATTCGGAGGATCCCATTAAATAATCTCAACGTTGCAACCAAAGCGCGCCTAATTAAGCGCTAATCACTGGGCGTTAATTAAGGGACAAGTTTGTAATCTCATTGAGTGCTTGACTAGAGCTTACGGAAACCGTCTGAACCGTCTTTTTTTCTACAAAAGTTTTAACCGTATGTATAGGTTCCCGCCTTGCCATGGCCGAGGGACTTAGTAGCCGGGGCTTGGTCGCCCACGGTGCAGGAGGAACCCAAACTGAGCTGGCTTGTGGTGTATGGCAGTGGGGGGAGAATAGTGTCGGTATTAAGATACGCAGTTCTCCTTACCCCCTGCAGCCGAAAATTGGCGAATAGTGGACTTGACCTCGTAGCTCAAGTGTGGTTTGATTGATGATATGGCGGGCGTCTTGTCAACATTGACTGAAATCCGCCACTTGTCCAGCCATAGAAGATTTTTATTCTATCATCAATAACTGTGGTCGGGCCACGCAATAGTCTCATCTGCGAATGAGCAGGTCCGTCCGGGTTAAAAACGGAACCCTATTACTAAGACTCCGCTGTCTGTCTGTCTTTCTGTCCGTTTAGACAAACGAACAGGCAGACAGACATCTGCCTGTCCCTTTTTACTATACGAAAAGAATTCTTGTTAGGTCTACCCATCACTAAAATTGTAAATAAAATAATTTTTATCAAAAAAAAAATCGACTTCAAACAGGAAACTAAAAAGTAAAAAAATAATTGACTTAGCACAAAGTAATTCGTATTTAGTTCAGTTAATCAGAAATTATTAAATCAGTATTTTGTAATATTTTATTTTTTTTGTTTTGTCCGTCCTTTATTGGTAAATAAATTTATTTTCTTTCTTTCTTTCTACTTAATTATGTCTTTAATTATGTCTAAACACTAACTTTTTCGTCAAACATTACGTGGGACGCTCATAAAGTTTTGAGAAACTAAAAAACTTAATGGAAAAAAACTTATATGGACAAATTATTTTCATTAAAACTTTTCAAAGAAGTCTCCATCAGCGTAAACTAATCATGCGTCTGAACCAATTATCGTAATACTTTTTCCAGTCCGCCGCAGACCGTCTTCCGGCCCTGAAAACTCTATAAACAGAAGTTACACGGTGCCAAATCAGAAGGGTGACCCGAGAACGGTAGTCCCCCGGTTGTGAGTGCAGGACCCCGCGGACCCCGGTGTTCTGTTGCTCATTGTAGTAAAAACTTTTAATAAGCATTAAATGGCATACCATTCGGCCGCTTTGATTTCGTAATGGAATTGATACCAGATACCCAATCAAAGTGAAGAAACTAGGGACTATAATTTTCCCTGTGCTTCTCTATCGCTTCACTTTTGTAAGTGTTGGTTCGATTAGAAACAGCCAAAATGTCGATTGTCGACTGACCTGAAGCTTAGCGCTTTGTTTCTGGATGCTCGCCAAAATATTTGGAGTATATAATTAAACTTATGTAATTATGTTCAGCCGCATAATTCTGCCGCAAATAAAGGACATCGTACAATTTTTTTTTCTGAAAACTATATGACTAGCCTGGTATGTTGTTATAAGGAAGCATCTATCTATATATCTCCTAATATTTGTTGAGCATTATTATCTAGCACTTTTTTAATCACATATATTTAGCGGAATTTAGCCCTTTTCTGGAACTGATCTAGCACCTAACACTGAAACGGAGTTGGCAACACTGCTTGACCAATGTAGGGGCCCATTCACTATCCTGCATACCAGTCCCCCGTGTATTCCGCCGCTCTATGCAGGATCGTGAATGGTGTTGCAGGCCTGCACAGTTTCTGGCAACACCGGCAAGCTGCACCCACCGCTTGCAGTCCGCCGCGCAGGAGCGTCAGTGGTTTGGCCGTCCTGCATAGCTGCAGTGCTGCCATATGAAGAAAAAAAGATGCACTAAGCCTTTATCAACATTACGCTATATTATACGAAAATATGGATGCTAACTTAGTTAGGATAGAGTTTTTTTCGTAAATTTAGACAGTAAATATTTACAATAGAAATTATATAGGTTTTATTTTAGAAATATTTTTAGTTAATATTTATATATAATAAATTAATTTTTAGTTTTAGTTATTTATCAATAAAAACTTTATGTAATAACAAAACAAACATAGCAGAATCGCTATTTTCTTTTTTTTTCGAAACGACACGTAAATCCATAATTATTACAACAACAAGTAACAACAATGACACTATTGAGAGACGATGGACGGCTTGTTGGATAGTGTGTGGGCTTAACCACTACCAGTTCATTAGATATGTCTTATCTATGACCACTACGTACGCTACGATTGACACCAGCGTGACCAGATTTAGTAGATTTCTACTTTTTTGTTGGTTTTGAGGTACTGGCAATAGAATTCAGTATGTAAAAATTATTTGGTTTATTTTAGTAGAATTCACGCTTTTCGGTTATTCTAGTACTTTTTTGGCTTATTGGATAAATGCGGGTACTTCCCCTTTCATTGAATGGATTGTAACTATTTAATTTTCATTCTTTTCGTTACCATTCGTGCCGTGAGCATAGAGTGTGATTCTACGACTAGTTGGAATTCCTTTATGGAGAATTTTTATAATAGAGTTTAAAATGAAACGTAAATATACACAAGGATATCGCGATGAATGGAGCAATATCCCTCATTTAAAAGTTGGTTTGTAAATCTAAGTTATACCTATATTACGAGTGCTCATTGTAAAGCATGCAACTGTGAAGTACTTCTTTGTTATTTTTATTACTTTATCGTTTAATCAAGAAAACGTTCATGTTTTTGGGTTTTAACGCGACAGCAAAAAAATATACTAGATTTTTAGTATTTTCTCGTTCTCTTTTGGTAGAATTCAGTAGTTTTTAACCTCGACAAACAGTAGATTCGTCAAATGAAATCTGGTCACACTGATTGACACTTGACAGTGTATCGATGGATAGAATATGTACTACTTTTAATTTTTAAAACGTTTGTATACGCACAGAGTACCTTATTAATACTGAGAATTTCAGGTTTATAAAAGAAAGCACTTAAGTAGTGTACGAGTACCGAATATTAATTAAATATTATTAATCATAAAAATCATCAAATATTATATCATAATACTTTGCAAGAAGAGCATTAGGAACGTCAGAACCTACAGAGAATTCTTTTCTGACCTGTATAACTACCATTAATGTGTGTTTCAACTTATATAGACTTTATTTCTAAACCTTATTAAAGTTTAATTCTATAGTGCGATCGTAAATAATATATTTTTAAGTTATGAATGGTTTTATTGCTGTACACTGTGGTAAGAATTATGAATATTTAAAAATTAATGAATATGTATATTAAATGCTATTTTTGATGATATTTTCACACCCACAGGTACACAGTTATGGCTTATACTTTGCTTTATTCTCTTGTACTATGTAATATACTTAAATAAATCTTTATTTTATTCTAGGGGCAGGGTACCACAGTGATTCTTTAAAAAAGGAATATCAGAAAACATGCTATGTTGCTTGCAGAAAGGCAGTAGAAGCTCTAAAAGGAGGTGGTGATGCAGTAGATGCAGTTGAAAAAGCTATCATAGGTGTGTACAAACTTATTGTACTAATAGATGTGGCAGTTAATCTGATGTTGCTCTATTTTTATTTAAACACCTTATTGTTTCAGAACTAGAAAACAGTTCTCTGACTAATGCAGGCTATGGATCAAATTTAAGTTGGGAAGGATCAGTAGAGTGTGACGCATCTATAATGAATGGTCAGACCCTGCATTTTGGTGCATGTGGTGCAGTGTCAAATGTTTGGAACCCCATTTCATTGGCAAAACATCTATGCATAAGGCAGTGTGAAAGTTTGTCTCTCGGACGAGTTCCACCATGTATTCTCACAGGTCAAGGAGCTAAAATATGGGCAGAAAGAATGGGATTAGAAATAGTGGATGATAGAAAGATGATCTCAGCTCGTGCCTTTCGCAATTATAAACATTGCAAGCGAAAATTGAAGAAATACTCTCTCCAAAATGATGTAAGGTTTAGCCCATTAGACACTGTTGGGGCAATCTGTGTAGATGCAAATGGTGTTGTTGCTTCTGGAGCAAGCTCGGGAGGTGTGTCTTTGAAGCATGAAGGCCGAGTTGGTCAAGCTGCTTCGTTTGGTAGTGGTGCTTGGGCTATGATGAGTAGAGACGGTATTCAGCCATCAGTAGCTGCTTGTACTTCAGGCTGTGGAGAACATTTAATTAGAACACAACTAGCAAAAAATACGGCAGAAAGCCTTTTGGAGCCATCACCAGTTATTGGTCTGGACAAGTGTCTAAAGGAAAAATTTCTAGAATCTCCATTTTTATGGGATGTAGCCGAACGTTTGGGTGGTTCCTTGGCATTAATATTTAATCCTCAAGTTGGGGAAGGCGAGTTATTGTGGGGACATACCACAAAAACAATGTGTATAGGATACATGTCCACAGAAAATGCTAAACCAAAGGTTATTTATCATTTAATGTATTCTGTAAATAAACTTAGCAAGATGTCTTGCATTTATTTACTAATCATAATATTTTCAGTGCGTTATTTCTTATCTGCCACCGAAAATGGAATCAGGGCGCAAGGCAGTGGTGTCGGGAATCCCTTTTAAAGTTACCATGCAACCTAGTCCAGTCCTACAATGGGAAGTCAAGACTGAAGTCAATTTAAATGGATCTCAATAATTTTTAAAATGTTACTTATAAGTAATTTAGATGACTCATAATAAATGCATAGAAATTTATAGTTATAAATGTAGATCTAAACTATTAGTGTTTGAAACCTATGTCCAGCAGTAGAACATGTATAATATATTTTTCCTTTTAGCTGTTAGCTGAACTGTAAATAAAATTTATTTTGTTTAAGAATCAAGTAAATAGTTAATATTATAAATTTTTTAATTCTAGACTCAACTGACTAATGACTTACTTTTCATATTTTTGTATTAATGCCTGCCTTATTTGATAGAAATTATAGATTGTTTCGCAAATATCTTGTGTAAAATTTATTGAAAATTTATATTTACCAATAATTGACCTTTTATATTTTTCAAAATACAATTTGGATTATAATATGACAGCTACAATGTCGTAATGATTGGCACATAATGTACTGCTTGAATGAATGGTCAATTATGAAATGTAGTGGACATGACTCAAATTTCTCAATGGCATGAAATGAAAACTTTTAAATGTTCATCAAGTTTTGTAGGTGAAATATAATAAAGTACTTTCATTCGATAACATGATAAAACAAGGTAAAGGCTTTGATTCAATAAAGAGGTATTTACCTATTTAGGTTGAAAGTAGTTTTATGTATGTATAAAACTACAGTACAATGTGCTCACATTGCTAACAGCGGCCTCCTATGGAGGAACATCGCAAGACGTGCGGCTGCCTTGGAAGCGGACGGCGACGACGCAATCCTGTCCATCGACAGCCACAACCCCTCTGCCAAGTGTCCGATTAAGAAGAAAAATAAAACTATAAAGAAAATAAAGAATCGCAAAATGTTTTTGTAATTTATTTCACTTTGTATATCTAGCAATCTAAAAATCATGTTTACATTCATTACTATATTACATAGTATGTAGCAGCAAAAAAGTGGTGCTTAGTTAACTCTTATTTAGTATAAGCTTGAAAAAATTAACTCAAAATTATACAATTACATTATCTTGAAACATCTATAATTTAATTAATGGTCAATTATTAAGGGATACTACTGTTGAAAGAGAGAGCTTAGATTTTCAAATTTTAAGGAGCCTACTCTAAAAACAAAATTTTAAAACATCCCATAGTTTAAACCAGTTCAGCAGAGAAACCTACATTTTTAAAGCACCAAAATTTAGTACCAAATTATCACGGCAAATTGCTCACATTTTCTTTGACATTGAAACACTGAGTTTTCAACCCTATCATCAAATAATTGTGAGAAGTAAGGCACTGCATGAAATACATGTGGTTCTAGTTTTTTTTTAAATACGAATTGAAGTTATCATCACTCCTAATTATTGACCTAAAAGTTCATTTTGTGATAATTTAATTCATCAACAAGATGAATAAAAAAAATTTCAAAGTTCAAGCTTTCTTTCAATGACAATGTCTATAATGGAAAAAACAAAAACGTATGAAAGTTTTCTCTGAAAAAAGTAATAATTGAACAAATGCCAGTCTTACGATATAAAACTTGTTAAAAATGCTGTAATTACCAGTACTGTATAAAATCATGCACATTTAATACTAGATAATATTATCACTTTTATATGTAGAGTCAATAAAAACTCATAGTTTACATAATAGTAGCCCTAAAAGTAGGCCCTTACACAATAAAATCATAGTTGCGAAAATACACATTTGTACTCACTAAATAAAATGCTCACAGTAAGGTAATTATGCTTATAATAATTTTACACTTAAAAATAAACATATAAGTTAGCTTGCTATAAAAACCAATCAACCATTAATATTGTATTGTGTGCAAGAGTTAATCATAAAATAAGACAAACTTGCACTGTAATAATAATGTATATAAATAATGGTCATTTTAACATATTGTTCAGAACTATTATTATATAGTCTAATTAACTGTGTAGTTTGTGACTTGTTTTCATTACATTATAAACGGAGACATTATTTTAATTATAAACAGTATTACTTTAAAAGAAATAAAAACTAAATAAGAAAAGGTTATATACCTTTTCTCATTTAGTTTTTATTTCTAGGTATAATGCACCTTCTCTTTATATATTCTATTTTTTTTAATTTTACATACAAGACACTAACCTCTGTGCGATTTTCCGATGTCAATAGTTAAATTTATTGCTAGCAATATGAAAAAAATATATGTTAAAATCATCATATTTTAAAATCGTTAAGTACAAAGAGAGTGAGAGATTGGCAACAAGTTGAATTTATATATACAAGACAATGAAGTTATTACATGTAAGCCTCAAATATTAATTTACTTATGAAATCTCAGTAAAATTATAAAAAAAATTGAATGTTAAAATAAATGCCTAACTAATACTGCCATTATTATAATTATTTGTCAAAATATTTGCCATAATTGCAATATATTATTGACATTACAGTCACATTTTCTTGTTTCTACGTATATTCTTAACAAGGCATTGTCAGTCTACTTACGTTTGTGATTATCATACACAACCATATTCATACCAAATTGCGGATTCCTTTGAGTTTTCAGATTTCTCATTCCGGTTTGTTGTTCTTCTATCTTGGTCTTCCTGTTCTTGGGCGTTTTCTTCGGTCGTAGAACGCGCTAAATCTGGCGCTTGATTATGCTCAGTCGCTGATCTATCATGGCCTGTTTGACATGCGCCATCGCCGATAACAGTTGATATTCTGTTATATATCAAATATGTTGGGTTTTCTTTAACGGGTGTGCTCTGCGGTTTTGCGTTTAGATTTACTTCTGGGTTGTCGTCAGCCAAGTATACGGTACGTCGCGTGCCGGCAGTCCCGAAAACGGGCGAAGGAGTAGATGCTGTAGGAAAGCGCGACATTTAATACGCAAGGAGATATATCACACAGTTTAAACTACAAGAATCTCTAACAAATTAAAAGTAGAGCAAAGAATTATTCTAATGACATTACGAAAGTCGATCTAAAAACTTAACAAACTAAAACATACCTGTAGGCAAACTAGTATCTCCATCTAATCCTTGATAGCTATTCCTATGGGTGGGCGCTACTGCTTTATGTGGTCTTCTTCTGAAGGACGCCCGTATAAGGGCATCGTCACCACCTCCACTGTGAACTGATGCAGACGATAGCCGTCTAGTAAAATTCCCCTCACTAGCAGTTAGGCGGCTCGAATCAAGTCCCGTCATAGAACCTTCCATGGTATCTGGTTTCTTAAACGTATCCTCGTATCTTCTACTGTAACTCAAATCAGAACTGTGTCTTGGTGATTCAGTATTTTGATTAGATGAACCTTGCTCTTGGTCGCAGTTTTTCAAAGCTTTATCGTAATCTTGACTCCCGGGATCGGATTCCCCAGATTCAGAACCAGCTAGCGTCAATTGTGACTTTGATCGATTTTCATCTTCCATTCTCTTATGGTTTCGTGATGGTACTTTGTTTATTAAATCAGTTCCCGCTTTCCTCACTCTCTTCACGAATGATGCCCCGAAACCACGTCTCTTAGGCGTACAGTTGTCAAGTTTTTTATAATGTTCCATTATTTTTTCCTCTAATTTTTCTTTCTGTCGGCTCAAAGCGTTAACTTTGTCAGCAAACATTTTTTCCTCTTCATGATAATGTTGTTTATCTTTTAATGAGTGCGCCAATAGTTCGTGATACTGAGTCAAAAGTTGGGAGACGTGATCCATCAAAGAACGCCTGTCAGCGTCTAAGCTTTTATTCATTTGAATCAACATTTCACAATGTTGATTAGTTTTACTGATTTCTAATTCCATACTGGTTATTATCTCATTTTTTGTGTTAATTTCGCCAGACATTTCGGTATTTTTTAATTTTAATTGCGTGACGTCGCTACGTAATTTACGATACTCATCTTGCATGTTTTTGTATTCATTTTTTAGTCTTCCGCTGACTGTAAAAAGATTCCTAAAGTCTTCTTTCAACTTAGAATGTTCTGTTCGTAAGTTAGTCAAGTTTCTAGACTCCTTTTTCAAATTTTCTCTTTCTATTTCAACTTCAGAAGCCTTCTTTTCATAAATTGTTATTTTATCCCTTAGTTCACGATTTTCTGTTTTAAGATCTCTCATAGCAATCTTTACGGGTTCTTTTTCACTGAGTAACATCTCATATTCAGTATTTAACTGTTCGTGAAGCGTTTGTAATGCAACTTGATCCCTCAATAGATTGTCTTGCTTATCTTTCAAGACCTCAAGCTGTTTGACGATTTCTTCTTTTTCGGCAGCTAACTGACTGTTTGCAAGTTGTAAAGTCATTTGTTGTGAAATCAATGAACCATTTTGTGAATTAAGTGTGGCAACATTAACTTCCAATTTTGCATTTTCTGCTTGATAATGATCTAAACCCGCCTGAAGTGTTGCCAAAAGTTGTTCAGTTTGTGGATCAGGGCCTTGATTTTTTTCATGATTACAGTATTGAGGAACTAACTCGGTCATATTAGCCTTTGCAGCTATTTCAATTATCAATCCACCGTGATCTGCGTTAGTTATAATTTTTTCTAGTAATTCTTCCACATTAAGTTCTTTCGATGTTATTTCTGAAGCATTGACACCTAATTTTTCGAAGCAGTTAATAAATTTGTCGCAGTTAACTTTTTCTAAAATCAAATCTTTTTGTAGAGTTTGTATTGTTTCAGAATCTATTTTTTTGTGCGATTTTAACTCTTGAGTTTTCTGTTCCAAGTCTTGTAACCTGGTTACCATTGAATGACTTACGTCTAATTCCCGAGACAATCTTTCAATTTCTTTATTTTTTAATTCTAAGTCTGTTGTGATTTTGTCAATTAAGACATCTTTTTCTTCCACAGCCTCTCTCAATTTGTTTACTTCTCTTTGTAAGTTGTGTGCTTCCTTCTCGCTATAAGTTAGTTTTGTCTTTAACTCTTCTGTTTGTATTATAAGACTCATTGCTTTATCGGCCTCGGGTTTTACGGCATTAAGTTCTTTAGTTCTTGCATCCAACGATTTTTCCAAATCATCAGCCCTCCTCTGTATGGAGTCACATAACATTTGAATTCGTTGTTTATCTTTAGTTAAAGACTCCAAGTGCTTTTCAAAGTCCTGTAATTTATTCTTTTCAGACTCCCTATCTATTGATTGTCTGTCTATAAAAGCCTTTTTATTGTCCAGAGAATCCTGCAATTTCCTATTTTCTTCCAAAGCATTCTTAAACACCTCTTCTAACTCTGAATTTTGTTGCATAAGACGATTGCAATTCTCTTGAAGTTGTTCACATTTTAAGGTTAGCCTTTTCTTTTCCTTTTCTAGCTCTAATACTTTGTCACTGCCTTCTAGTATGGATTGTTCCCTTAGATTGTCGATTGTAGAAAGAAGTCTCTTATTTTCTAGTTCTAGTTTTAAGGCTCTGGCTTGTGCGTTACTTGTTAATTGTTCAGATAGGCTGTTTTCGCCAGATTCGATTGTGCTTTCACATTCATTGTCCGTATCTAAATTGCTATTGTTACTTTCACTAAGCATCGATCTTGCAATGTATTGCAAATGGTTGTTTTCTTCAATTAACTCTTGGATTCTTTGCTGATCTGCATCTCTTTCCTGTAAGAATATATTACAGTTATTAAAAATAAACTAAAATCACATTATCTCCAATATGTAATTTTTGGGCCAATCATTCACATTCTTCTTATCATCTCGAACGCATACTTAAAAAAAAAAGAATAATACAATTGAGATCTAAATATATTTGGGCAAGTATTCAGTTACGCGCACAGAATTATCTTTCATTAGATTTTCGACCGTGCAGGTCTAAGGGCACGCTGATAAGATATGGGCTGTATCTTGTACTGCAATACACTTGGGAATTAAATGACACACGTATAAAGATGTTATTTATTATAGCGAAGTATAACATAACTTACAGTTTCACGATTTCAATAACGTTTTTGTACCTGTATAGAGGAGAGATTGAGGTTCTTTATTATTCACATAACGGACTTGATCAAAACGACAACGATTCCGACGACGTCCTATTTTATTGGTAATTTCATCTTTAAATAAACTACTTAATTAACAAATGTGCCCTTATGTAAGGATTAATTTGTTCCATTTAGCTAGAAAGGCAGCGGAAGAAGACACTCTGTGGGTTATTCAGAAACGATAACGATAACGTCAACTCACAAGTGCGATGTCATTGGCCTCTCTCTTCAATTTGATCATAGCCGCCTCCAGGGTCAGACATTGTTCAGCCCTCTTCCTTGCTCGCTGCAGTTGTTCTTCTAACAAGTCTCTCGAGTCCATTAGCGCTTTATTATCTTCACGCAATTCCGCCACCCGGGTCTTATAGTACTCCGCGTCGGCGAGACGGTCGCGGTACCTCTGTATTTCTTGCTCCAATCTGAAGTTTTCAATATATCGTAACATACCGTAAAATAGATTTATGTTTCTTAGAGATGACAGTGCACTGATAGACTAGCACCAATAATCCCTATATAAAGTTATTTAACAGCAAGTAGTGCGTATATGGATTTTTGCAACTTAAAGACTCAATATGGGCAATAGTTTGCTTCAACAAACAGTTAAGCCCTGAAGCATGTTTTTCCAAAGGTTTCGGCACTTCTAGTGTCCACTTCGCAGAACAACGAAATCTGCTCGCAACTATTAAGTTATCTCTTAAAATATGTAATTTTCACTAGAAAGATACTACATTTTTGTGATGATCATACATTTTAAAACATTTACATCTTCGTGAGCTTCAGCGGAAGATCGGAGTTTAGCGGAACATAATTCGGCAAACCAAGCGTTATCACCCACGGTCCTATAAGACGACTCATGGTTTCGGCTTTGTTAGGCATATTAGCACACAAAAACGATGCTATTAAGCTCGGTGCCTTTGGCTGAGCACTAAAGAAATTTTTTTAATTTCATTTGGGTACCTTTCGCAACGTTCGGCCTTTTCCCTGAGCGCGTCCACTTCATCCCTGTACCCCGCAGCTTTCCGAGCCTCGTTGAACCATTCCTGACTGTCCGAGCGAAGCTTCGCCAGCACCAGCTTCGTATGCTCCAACTCCTCGCGACATTCGGCCAATTGTTCAGACTTCTCCTCCCTGGAATAGAAGCATTTTATTTTATGTGAGAAGGTGGCAAACGAGCCGGCGGTCCAACTGATCTTAAACGATGGCCGCCGCCCATTGACATTTGCAGTACCCGTAGGGTTGCGGACGCGTTGCCACCTTTTAATAAAGTGGGCCGCGGCTACCTCACTCAACAGATGAAACGTGTGTGATGAAAAAGATGTATAACTATGAAACTTTTAGTTCTCGCCGGTCTTCTGTGAATTCGTGGTACATACCCGGACGGACTTGAACAGCACGATTTTGCTACATAAAGAGTAACCGTGTTGGTTCTTTGGTGCATGCCGCTAGAATTCGCACTACATTAGGATTGCAAATCCGACCCAGCCAGAAAATATTATAAACTAAATGAACTTAAATTTAGATATTATAGAGCACAATAATGATTAAACTAAGTATTGAGTTATTCTTTCACTGGAAATGCATGAATAACAGACACAAACAATTGCTACTGGTTAACAATTTAAATAGCAAACACATTGAACTAAATTTTAATTATCCATCATTTCAACCTATTGTGGTCCACTGCTGAACATAAGCCACCCACTCAGACTGCCACCTAGTACAATCCTGAGCCACCTGCAACCTACATCCATTGACATCCCGCGCAAACTACTACTATTACTATAGTACATACAATTCCTGTCTTTGTTTTCGCAGACGGGCCTTCCAATCTGCGAGCTCGACAGCCAAATGTTGGCTTTCTCCGTTGCTCTGATTGATGTTCTGCGTCGATGGATTCTTGCTGGATTTGTTCTCATTCTCGCTTTCGCACAAGCCTTCGTTGAGGACCAACGTCGCCCAGTTCTGGAGATAGTGGTCCCTTTCCTTGGCCAGGCGTCGCATGTGGTTGAACATCGTCGGCGATTGGAAGAGGTCTATCGCGTCCGGCGTCAAAACTACTGTCTGCATGTCGGTCACCTAGAGAATGTTAAAATCAAGTTGTGAAATCATCTTCTCACTGTGTTTAGGGTTCCGTACCCAAAGGGTAAAACGGGACCCTTTTACTAAGACTCCGCTGTCTGTCTGTCCGTCTGTCACCAGGCTGTATCACATGAACCGTGATAGATAAACAGTTGAAATTTTTACAAATGAAGTATTTCTGTTGCCGCTATAAAAGCAAATACTAAAAAACAGAATAAAAAAATATTTAAGTGAGACTCCCATACAACAGACATGATTTTTTGCCGTTTTTATAGATAATGGTATGGAGCCCTTAGTGCGCGAGTGTGACTCGCACTTGGTCGGTTTTACTTTACTCGGCTGCGCCACGCAAAGAATGGGTAATGTGTTCATGAGCCTTGTATATGTGTTTTGTGGCGCTCTAGAGATCAAACACGTGAGTTAATGATACTAACGTCAATGGAATTTTCATAATCTTTCTTGTTTCACTAAAGATATAAAGTAAAATTAAGTTCATTATTAAAGTCATTAAAGCCTATGCATGTCCCACTGCTGGACAAAGGCCTCCTCTCAATAGAGGGTATCAGAACATAGCCCACCACCGTACGGATTGGCGGACTTCACATATCTTCCAAATATTTGTTTTTGATTAATATCGAAAATATGCAGGTTTCCGCACGATGTTTTCCTTCACCGATTAACACGTGATAAGTCAGCACTTAAAATTAACAATTTCATCAAAATCAATAGCCGGCACCGGGGATCGAACTCAGGTTGCTCACGAGCTGTCACGGCGCTTTACTAAAAGCTTGATTAAAAAAAATATAAAAAAATTCAAAAATCATATCGGCCTTCTCAAAAATTTTTGCTATTACGCAATGTACATAACTCAATCTCATCAAAACGAAGCAAATGGAAACGAAATACTGCGAACCTACATAATGAAGGAACGAAGGAAGAAACAATTGGGTTAAAATAATTAAATTCACCACGGGACATTCCCATTGTCTAAATAATATTATTCTATCGAGGTTTTGATGGCATGCCAATCGTGGTTGTAATCTAAATCCATATTTGGATGTACAATATATAGCACCGACGTTCTAACACAAGTTTATTCAAATGAGGGCTACGTGTCGTATCTAAAATAATTATTACTCGTTGTATAGTTTGTTATGCGGGCTGGAAATTGGAATAACAAACATTCATACCGATACAATACTATGTGTGTATTTATATACACACATGCAACTACGAAAATATACTTACGACAGGAATTACTTTAAACTTCTAACAAGAAAAGCTTTGTATAGTTCTTCTTTCAACTCTGACTTATTACTAGATAAACGAAATTTTTATCATAAACGCCAAGTTAATGAATCTTTTTTTATATAAGGTGGCAAACGATCTGGCGGTTCTGTACTGCTTTTCCGATGTTGAGTGATAAACGACACATATTGACATTTGCAACAGCCGTAGGATTAAAGATACGTTGCCACCTTATAATAAGGCCTTGGCTACCTCACTCACCAGACGAAACCCAAAACTACAACACTTCCACTTTACTCCGGTTTTCTGTGGTCGACCACGAACAGTAAACACCAACATACAGGTCTACCGGTGGTAGGGCCACGCAGCGGCCTCAGCTGTTGCACGAATGGGCAGGCTTGTCCGGGTAAGTACCACGACCTCACAGAAGACCGGTGTCAAGTGGAAGCATAATACTTTCGCGTTTCGTCTGGTGAGTGAGGTAGCCGGAGCCCAATTTTCAAAAGGTTGTCAACGCATCTGCAAACGCTCGGGTATACCAGATGTCCATGGGCGGTGGTATTCACTTAACATTAGGTGAACCACCTGCTGGCTTGGCAACTTTTCACATAAAAACGTACCCAGACAGTGTGATACATAGGGTTAATAACTGCTGTTAGGGCCGGTAACACAGCAGCTTTTGTTTTTGCACAAATGTGCAGGCTCCTCACAAAATTGGCGTGAAGTGGAAATATCGTTCTTTAGCGCTCCGTCTAGTGTGTAAGATAACTGGGGGCTACTTTTTCAAAAATCGGAAACAACCCACAAAGACTGGTGCTGAAGCCAGAGGCTTAGCAACTGCACCAACTAGTTATCATGTTTGTCTCAATCTAGTCTAATGGTATGACGGAATAATAGGCTACAAACGACGATTACCGAAAATCAAGTGAAAAGTGGAGCCACGATTTCCTTGAAACATATCTCCTTCATGGAATCAGCTGTACCCATCTATATTTTTGGACCAATACAATAGGGAATTTAAATGGAAGTGAAAACGACGCGGTAACGCATTTATTATCCATTTAGTGGCAGTGATCACTAACCATCAAGTAAGATGCTTGCTCATTTCCCACCTCTATAGAGACCTGATTGCACTTTGTAATCAATAACAAAAACAAACAAAAAAAGCAATTTTTAAGTGGTTTACTAGCATCATTTTAAAGCTGTTTCATTACCCCGAACGGGAGAATGGAAGGAATGTTGTAATCACAAGAAAATCGTATTAGCATCTTGTGTTGAAATGAAAATCTAAAATATATCCATCTCACTTCTTAATATTTTGAATCTAATACAAAAAAAATCTTGTGTCACAGTTTATATTTATACTCCTCCAAAACGGCTATACTGATTTTGATGAAATTTTATATGTTTATTATTCAGTAGGTATGAGAATAGATTTATAACTATTTTTTTTTTTTTTTTTTTTTTTTTTCTATCCTACAACTAATTTATATGGCGAAACAATGTTTGATGGATCAGCTAGTATGTATATAATATGCTTTTATTTTCTTAACCTATATTAATTGATGTACATATATGAGAATTGTTACTTATTTATTTCACCCAGTTTCACTATTCACAGACAAACTACTGGATAGATTTTAATTAATTTGCTCAGAATCATAAGTTCATTATAAAAAATTAGATTAGCCAAACTAGATTATCGTGAGACGCAAACTAGTTATGATTGCTGTGTAATTTTATAATTGCATACAGTCATTATATAA